GTTGTTGTGGGCACGTTAGTTGCCTTCTTGTTGCTGGTTTTATTCGTTTGTGAGGCAACTTGTCGATTACATTTTGTTTCAAAAATTCGTTTGCAACCTATTCATTCATAAAGCTTGCAGCAGCAGCTGCAGCAGCAAAAGGCTCTAGCAAATGGCAACAACAACAAGAGCAACAACGATGTGTAAGAGCACAGAAAGTAAATACAGCTAAGCTCGAAAGTGTACACAAGTGGCGGCGGCGGCAGCAAGTAGCCTACTCAGAAAACTTTGTGTGGTGTATGCGTGTCCAGCTGGGTATGGGGGATGTACATACATACATACATACATAGCTGGGCGTACCTAGTGCACAGCATGTGGAGTGCAGCTTAAAATCGTTTGAATTGAATTTTATGAAATTTCATGTACGCAGCAAGAAGAAGGGGGAGGTCACTTCTCGAGTGAAAAACTGTTTGTACTTTTATGAGTGTGCCAATGTTAAAATACCTAGAAATATGTACATACGCGCAATTTTTTCGCACACTTTCACCCTTCCTTTCGCCGCTGTAAGCTCTTCTCCCTTGCTAGTGGCGACTAGCGTAAGCTTTAGCGTAGGTAAGGGCGGCCCATTGCGGGTGGCAAAATATTTGATGTGGAAATAGTAAAAGTTGAGCACTTTACAGCGAAATTTCGCCCATATACACAAATACATATAAGCATTTGAATATTTGTATAGTGCTGAGAATAACTATACGGCACCCACATATTGACAAGTTTTGACTATTTTTTTATTGTTATTTATTTCGAACTTTTTAGGCAGAATGTTTAGAAAATACTTACTTGGTTATGCAGTTTCATAGCCCGATCAATTCTAGTACCGTTTGAAGTGGCTACAAAATACCGTTGATTTTTGGATTTTTTTGTTTTTTTTTGTTGACAATGCTCAGTGTACGATTTAGGAGTGTCAATGGAAAAAATCGAAAATCTCTTAAAAGATAGAGATAGAAAAAATATGGAACTCATGGCCTATAGGGGAAAATAGTGGGATTATATAATCTTTATATTCAACCACAAAAAAATTTCGTTGAAAAATTAATTTTTGAGAAAAAATTAATACTTTGCTGGCTAGTTACAACAAAAAAATTTTGGTTTTTGGTTTTATGGACTTTTTTTTGTAGATTTTCAAACGAGTCATTTAAATTTGTATCAAGAGTTGACTAAAAGATCGTATAGATGCCCAGTTTTTATATTGCATCTTGACTTTCGACTTTTTAATCAGATTTTTCATATCTTTTTCCGTATAAAAAAAGTCGAACTCACGTCAAAAAAAAAATAAAAAATCCAAAAAATCAGGGCAATTTTTAGCAATTTAAAAGTTGTACTTTATTTTACTAGAATTTAATTTAAATTTAGATGTAACATTGCGATTTCAAAAAAGGGAACCTCCAGATTTTTTAGTAAACTTTTGACCACAAATTAGAACTTGAGCTATATTTTTGCAAAAAAAAAAACAATAATAATAATAATAGTTAGTCAAATCTTTTAAATATGTAGTTGTCATATCATTATGATACGCACTATACATAACTTTTTTTTTTATTTTTTTTTTATAATTTGTGAAAGCTCACGTGTAAGCGTGCGTCCGATTGAGTGTTTGTGTGTGAGTATGTTTGCTGCCGGTTGAGTGCATTTTAAGTAGTTGTTGTTGGCAAACAAGAAATTAGCATTTATTTTTGCCATAAATCGTGTGGCTAAATGAAAATCACAAGCGTGTACACCACCACCACATATTTATTTGGAAACATTTTTAAAGTGTAATGTTTTCAGTAGCTCGTTCATTTTTTATGACTTTTAGCTAAAAATAAAAGAAAACAAATTTTGTTCTAATAATCGCTTTGAAAACGAATTCAAATCAGCATGATCTGCAATTTCACTATTTCGGTTCAATCTCTGATAAGACGCGCGAGCATACTATTTGCCATTTACCTTGCTCTACATGCGGTGCAGATAAATAGCTTTATACCAGTACAAGCACTTTATTGGTACGCTTTAAGTTAGATATCTTTCTACTCTTGCCACATTTTATATTTCTGTTATTAATAACTTTACCGTGTCAAAGACTTAACAATAGCGAAAACAGCAGTATCGAGATTTTAGATACCAGGTGCAGTTTTAAAAATTAAATTTAAATTTAAATTGAAAATTAAAGCTTGGGCAGATGCACCAAGTCAAGATACTTACTTTCTACAACACTCGGTTGAGAGTATCGTACAACAAGAAAACGTATAATGGGCTATTAAGACTTGTAAACCTTATTAATCTACAGGATCAGCTGACATATTCTCAGCCGAAATTCAGCAAGCGGTCGACCTTGTATGTCTCAATCCTTGCCAGATTCCTAGAGAACGGTACAAGTCTAATGAGGCACCTCCTTTTTTCTTAAAATTACAAAGAGACTTCTCGATGCACACATCCGACACCGCCTACACGAAATTGTGTTCAAAGTTTGAAAGGGACTTGCCTTTCAAGAATTTATTCTTGACATAGGGGGCGCCTTTAAAAATATTCTTCCAGATGCCATCGTGGGTAACTTTTTAAAGTGGTGCTGGAACGGCTTCTGGTGAAACTTACAATGCTATTCTTGAGAAGGTAACTATCTTCCCAGAAATGGGGCTGCCATATTGCACTCAGAACATTTCCAACCCTCTATGTCTCGTGAATAGCTTGTCGAGAGAGAGTGGAGAGTGGTAAATTTTGCCAAGACCGAATTGGCAATATTCACAAGGAAATTTAAAATGTCGCCTTTTAAGCCCCGCTCTCTAAAAGGTGGCCGGCTCTAAAAAAGTCATCTTAATATTAATCAAGAGTACCCGGCCCTCTACACCCAGTAAGGCCCTAGAAACAATATCAAGTGTTCTTCCTACGAACCTTTATGGTAGATATCAAGCCAGTTGCAACGTAACCAGATTGAATGCAGCTCACAAATGGAGAGCCCTTGGGTTTGGTCACTAAAATTCTATATAAGCTGGATTACAGCAGCCCAATTTTTTGCTTCGACAATAGATTTTATATCAGAAATCGGACTTAGATGCTGAAATCAGTTTTCATTGAATTGGTCAACGATCGATGAGCGAGGGAGTCAACCTGTTTCATTTCTAAGCAGATCAGATCATATATCAATGAGAAAAGATTTAAAAATCAAAAACGAATTGATTGTCCCATTATCAGCGCAGTGGACGGTCTCATTAAGGAATACTGCGCATGGTAAGCGAATGGCATACCCGTTAACGAATGGAGCTTGGGCTCGCTAAAGTAGCATCTCAAAGTGTCTAACTGTAGCTCTCTTCTGGGCTGTGTGGAAAGGCAACCACCGTAGCCCGACTAACCCAACCTTTGTGCAGGCCACATATATGAAATTTCCCATGGCAGAGATATGAATTGGTGAGATTGGCTCTTGTCCCATCCACCTAATGACTCACAGTAAGCATTGTTGATAGTCATTGCATTGCGAAAACTAATTGCATTGGAGATTCGAGGAATTTGAAATTGAAAGACGTGCATATAGGTATCATTAGGCTTTATCACAATCTTAAACTCTGCAGTAGGTGCGCCAAATTTACTATTATTAGTATAGTTAGATGCTGGTGGAAGTTTTTTGGGTTGTTGTTGGGGAATAAAAATTTTCTTGTGGATTCGTGTTTGACAAATATTGAGACCCTAGGTTAGGTTAGGTTAAACGGGCAGCTCTGAAAAAGAGTTCACTCGGAGGCCGCAGAGGCCCATTGTGATGCCCATGGGGGTTACCCCCAAGCCCATCCCTACATGTCTTCGAACCACTTTGATTTTCTGGCGAATCCTAGCAGTCCTTCCAGAGGAGCTTTCCCCAAGATATCCAGATTCTCGAAGAAGTGGTCCCCAAGAAACTTGAGGCGTTTTCCTCGAAGTGCTGGACACTCGCAAAGGAAGTGCTGGACGGATTCTAACTCCTCCTCATCCCTGCAGCTTCTACAGAAATCATTATGCGGGGCTCCGAACCTGGCGGCCATGTGGCCAATGGTCCAGTGTCCCGTTAGTATTCCTGTGAGAAGCCTGACGTTTGACTTTGAAAGCCTTAATAGACTCCTTGTTCTTCGTTCATCGAGCCGTGGCCAGAGTGATCGCGATACCCTGCAGGTGTGAAGGTTTACCCACCTACTGTTGGTAGCTGCCCTGGTCAGTCTCTCGACTTCTGAAGACATAAATCGCAGGGGGGGTTTCACGATTTGGGTCGCTTCCCCGAGCCCCATCTCAGATCCCTTCCTAGCACATTCGTCCGCTTCCTCATTTCCCGGGACACCACAATGTCCCGGTACCCAGTAGAGATTGATTATGTGTTGCTGTAGAGCTTGTAGGGATCTTCGGCATTCTTTAACGCATACCGAGTTAGTCGTTGCCGACCCTAAGGCTTTGATAGCCGCCTGACTGTCAACAACGAAGGCAAGTTTAGATGGAGCTAAGTCCATCATGCCCACCAACCTTGCCGCCATATGGATTGCATATATCTCAGCCTGAAAAACACTGCAGTGGTCTGGGAGTCTATACGACTCCCTTGAGACCCTAAACAAGCCCCCATTTTAATTTAATTAACTTCTCAGTTCATTATGATTTCTTGTGTTTTTTATTTGAGAGTTGTACATTTGATTTCTAAAGTCTTCGGTTTTTTAGCAGAGGTAAAGGTGTGTTAGTAAAAATAATTGAAGAACTGAGAAAAGTTGTATAAGAATATTTAGGAGAAATATCACATATATGTATAAATAGTACCTAATAGCTTCACAAATTTTTTTTCTGAAGATAAGTGGAGGAACGAAAAATTTGTGCGTAAAATTATATACATATTAACAAAATAAAATCGCATTAGACGCTAACTAAAATTGCAAATTTATCACATCCATTACTTAGCTTTTAGGCATAATTAGAAGCCATTTGCAGAAAACACATTGACGCTTCCGTTCATACACTCGTCTTTCTTCTTATTACATTTGCAGATATAAGAGCGTGACAGATACAATATCAATTAAAAAGTATGATCATAATAATCAATACAAAAAATACACTGTAATCGTTGTAGCACCCACTCGGGATTAAACTAGGATCAGTTGTTTCAAACTACTTAAATGAATAAAAAAAAAACAAAAAGGTATCAAAGCAAATTTCAATAAAAAATACTTTCTTGCGTCGCCTTATAATCGTAAATAAACTGCACACATACATATGCCATTATATAAACTACGTATGTAAAAGCCGAGGGGAGAAGAGCAAAAGAAAAACACTATACATAACTGCAGAAATAAAAAACAAAAATTGAAATTCTTATAAAGTATTCAACTTAGAGGAAAACGTAAACAAATAGCAGTGTGTAAAGCGAGGCAGAAACCGCGGATCCACCGCGGCATATTATGTCACGAGACGATTACAATCCTGTAACTAGCTCTGGTGTTCGTAGCCCGGGTCGCTCAAGGCGGCTCACGGAATTGCCAACAGTCGATCGATCGCCATCACGAGACTACGGTACACGTGGAAGTCCACTAGGTGAAGATCAAAAAATTCAAAAAAAAAATTAAAAAAAAAACTAAACATTTTAAATACATATATTTATGCAATTATAGAAATTATTGGTTAACTTGTGTTTTGTAAATTTGTTATGCTTTTTGAGTTGTAGTCTCGGTTAAGCAAACAAAGCATTTAAGCGAAAATGACAAAAACAAAAGCAAAACTAGTCACCAAGCAACCTTTTTTTTTCTTTTTTACCTTCTTATTGCGCAAAACAGCACAAGGTAGTACATTAGAGTAAGCATTATTTAGAATTTAAGTTAAGGAAATGATTGGCTTGCAGCACCCGCCTCGTACACAAAAATTTAGCAAATTACTTAGACTAAGTATTTAAGTATATTTATAATTTCATATATAACATTATTTAATTAGGTTTTTTTCAAGCGCTAAAGCAATTATTGTGGTCTTCGACTGGTTTGAGGTTGTGGCATTAAGTAGAGTACACTGTGAGAAAATATTTTGTAACAAAAGTACTTTGAGGGATTCATAAGGGTCACCAAACTGAACATGCGTGTTTCATTGTGGCACAAATGACGACCTCGTAAAGCTCGTAAGTAAGCTCCGTAAGCTAATAGCTTACATATAAATCAGAGGTTGCCAAGCTTTTTTTCTCGTAGACCACTTTCAAAATTTTACTGGTTTCGGTGGGCCGTTACATTTCTACCATATTTCTAAAACTCGTCAAAAAATGTGAAGATTAGATCTAGCGATGGTAATTTGCGTTGCGGCTGAGTTCCAACCCTAAATTCGAAGTAGTGAAAAAGTAGTGTATATGTTTTTCTTTTTGTATTCTATAATATGATTACTGACCTGCAAATTTTTACAAGTAACAGTCGCTGGCCTTCTTAAAACTGAGTTCGTAAAGCGATCAAAATACGGACTCGCTCTGAGGAGTGTTTTTTTTTTTTTTGATGAATTCCAATTTCAAAAACTCAGAGTGCTAGCGTTATTTATATTATCTTCACTATAAACTGCTCATATGTTTGGCTCACTCATGAATTTGCATTAGAAGTATTTGTAAAAGAGTTTATTTGCATTGATGGCATCACTTTTATACATCGCTCGGAGTTTTAAGCTGGTGCGAAGAATATTTATCACTCACATTTTAAAAACAATAAACTTGAAAAACAAAACGGAAAAGCTTTTACGCCAAACTTTTAATTCAGAAACTAACAATAGCGACAAGACCGAATCTTGAAAAATCTATGAGAAACAATCAAGCAAGCACCGCATTCAGTTTAGAGCAAAAATAAAATGATTGCTCAATGAGCGCTCCCTGCAGCGTTAATAAGTTTATCAACGATTAAATGTACTGCTTGGTGAAAGCTAGACGAGTGGAAGGGACGTGGGAGCGTGAGGTAAATGTTGAGGCGTAAAAACTGAGTTATACATATTAAAGATAAATTTTAATTGAAAAGCCCTCTTATTTTCACTCACAAAAGAGGAAGTAAAAATTAATTGCTCTTGTCCAGCTAGACGCGAATCTCGGCGTTCGATAACGATCCTGATCTTTCTTGTAAGGTTCTTTTCATACTGGCTTCAACAGTTAATCCTAACGACCAGTTTCCCCTGTACATTTTTTTAGCTAAAGGTACTTAATTAAAGTTAAAAAAAACATAGAAAAATTCTTCAATTTTTCATAACATTTTTTAACTTTTTTCTATGAATTGCTAAAATATTTCTGACTATGCAGTGGTATAACCCATTTCAGTATAACAAAGCGCAAATTTTAAGACCAAAAAAATCGCGTTGGTTTTTAATCATTTAATAATTTTTTTGTGTAGTTCAGTATTGTTTTTTCAATGTAAATATAAATATTTGTTGAAATAAAATACGCAGGACCATTTGCAAACAAAATTACACTAAATTTGCCCAAAATTTTCATAAGTATACATTTGTCACATGTAAAAATCAGCAAAGGGCCTGGTCAAATGGGTATCAACGCGAATTTTTATAGTCATTAAATTTGCACTTTATTGCACTAAAATTTCATGGGTTATGCATACTCAGAAATGTCTTAAAAACTCAGAACAAAAGTTTTGAAAATTTTATGAAATTCAAAGAATTTTTCTAGTTTTTGTTTAAGGTTTAAAACTCTGATTTAAACGATTTTGGAAAAAAATTATCAGAAAATAACAAAAAAGTTTCTAGAAAATCACCCCCTTGACACATTTGCCTCTCACTGTATATGTGCATATGTAAATTCAAACGGAACGCGACTTACCCCCCTTTCCTGAGTACTTTTGTTACAAAACGATAATAGGCATATCAAAAAGTCGCACAGTGTAAATAACTTTTACGTTCAGTGATATTTATTTATAAATATATTTATATATACTTTCATTCTGTTTTCGTGCAAATGAGCACACACATATAATCAAAACAAAAACAAAAGAATTGGTAGTGAATTGGATTGAAAATTTTAATTGAGCGCCTAAATTAAATAATATTTTAAATATATTTACATGCATACATATATTTTCCACACAATTGCGTATACACGCGTCACACCAAAAAAGCCGTGCTGTTGTTTGCGCTTGTGTATTTATGTATGTATGTTGTATGTACATATGTATATACACACGCCTGCTATCAGCATTTATGCAGAAAGGCAATAAATCAATACATGTGCATAATTTATTGAAAACATGAAAAGTATTTTGTTTTTAATCAAGATGCGAATGTGTGTTGGCAGTTGACCTCGCCTCACTCAGCTCAGCTCAGCTCGGCACGGCTCAGTGGCATGGCTGGGCGTGCGTTTGTGGGAAAATATATGAGTGTAAAGAGATGCATATTTTTATGTATGGATATTGAAAATTTTATTAACTCATAAAAATGATGTAAACTACGTATGTACATACGTAAATATGTATGTACGTATATTCGTTTATAGTTGTATGTATGTACATATATGTGCAGCAGGGAACACATGGAATTGGCATTGTGCAGTTATTGAAGAAAAATGGCTTAAAAAATTGGTTTTTTTTGTTGTGACTCTTTGAAAATGCAAATATTTTTGCAGCATTGATTGATGCAAATTGCACGACAGCAGTTTTCAAAATATTAAAACAACACTTAAATTATGTGCAGTTATGATTATAATGAAGTTTTATTTTATTTTAATTTTTGGTAGATGATATTTAATTTGGCTGATGGTAAAGATGAGGGTGAAAGTGAATTTTAAGTCATTAAAAGCAAATAGTGAAAAGTATCTTTTAAAAATTACACTGTGCAACAATTTTAGTGTCATTGTCTGAGGGCGCAGAGGGAGGAGAGCAGAGATGAGTACATGGTGTTGGTTGTTAAATAATTTTAAGGTGTTTGAAGTTAAAATATTGTTATTACTTTTCATAAAAACAAGGTTCATAATTTAACCAAAGCCATATAAATCAAACTTTCAAACTTGATACAGAGCTTAGAGAAATTTAACAAATTTTTATTAAAGTGATGTGCTTTTCAATGTGCTACAAATCTGCATACTCAAAAAAATTAAAAAAAAAATCAAATTTGCAGCCTTATGCACTTGAGAACCTACTCAGGTCTACCCTTGCTTGTGGTCTACAGGCCCCTTGCACAGCGATCAGATTTAATTTATTGTATCCCCTATTTTAATTTTAGTTATTTAATATGTGTGCTCGGGGAATCGCAGAAGCCCCTGTTACCAAATCTGCACAGGGTTGCCTTCACTAAGCTTACAGCAAGGATGCATTTTAACGTTAATTTTAACGTTTACCAAAAAAAATGTAATCGCTTCGGTTCAAACGATCCAGTTTTCTATCGCTTAGGTAATTATCAAAATAATTCTATTTTGGGTTTTAGCGAACAGACATTCAATCGTTAATGCATTTAGGTGCTAGGTGTTAACAGTTAGCTGGCAATGGCATACAAAAACAACCTTTCATTGATTTATCTTGTTTCAACGTTAGTGTTGGATAGGTGGTAATAAGGTATTCCATTGATTCCTCCTTTACACCACAAAATGTGAAAATATCTTCACTACAAAGTCCAAGGGATTTTTATTAGCCCGTAAGCGCTCCAAATGGCGTCTTTGTGTTTATTCTAGTTGACGTTGGCGCATATTGTCACTGCACCAAAGGAACTTCTTTGAGTGATAGTGTCCCTTTAGGCTGTCCCACTGGCTAGCAGTGCAAGATTTTTCGCACTCGTTAAGCTCCTGTTTGATGTCCGGACCTTCAATTTTAAATACCACCATAACCCTCATGGACAAGCACCCAGATTAGGGAGACTCTACTTGGGGCGGCTAGATCATTGAGTGCTCTGTGCTACTCCAGAAGAGTTTGTGATGAGCATCGGTAAGCTATTTTGAGCTTCGAAATCAAATTGATTGTCCGAAAATCTAGAAATTTTGGTTCTGGAATTCATTACCCCTGTTACAGATAGGCATGCAAGTCGTTGGATCTTGCACAGTTTTTTAATAGCTGTTTGTTAAGAGATCGTTTTTCACCCTACGAAAGCTTTATACACAATTATGGGTTTTACTATCTGAGTTTATACCCAGAAGGCAATTTTGGGATTTAGACCGCATGTTTTGACTATGGGCCTTAGACTAAATCCGTGACGATCTTTTCATGGTCTTTTTGCGTTGTGATTATCAGCTAGATCGTCAACCAGTACAGACCACAATAGCGGAGATAGGACTCCTCGCTATAGACAGCTTTTTACTGCAGTGTTATTGAGTTTTTTTCGGTTCGCCTTTAGAGTTCTCTGGGCTAGTATATTGTATCACTATTGAAGAGTGGCACTTCAATGAATTTGAAGCTTGCATTGTCAACGGCACCTCTTATGCACATAAACGAACAGAGGGCTATACCCTTAACTTGCCCTTTTTGAAAATAAAATAAAAGTTTATGTATTGCAGTCAGGTCTACCATTAGTCACAAAGCCTTTTTGCTGGATCTGTTTATGGGTAGTCTAGAGAAAGTCAATTCCTCACTAAGTCCAAGTTTAGCTAATTAGTAATACTTCGTTCAGTTTTCTGCAATATAACTGTAACGGATTTTCGATAATCATCTAATTTGTGAGTATTCTGATGTGACCGGGAGAGAAGACTAAATCTGATCATATCTTGAGTGAGCTGATTTTCTATCAAAATAGATATTAGTTTCCGCCACGTATGTCATACAATTGCGAAACCATTCGAATGTTTCTTTTAATGCAGCTACTTTTGTCTGGATTCTTCATTGAATCTGGATATGTTTAAATCGGGACGGATATCTCCTCCGGATTAATCAGAAAGTACGAACTCAAGTTCCTTATCCAAAATCTAGTAAAAGAGGTGCATTCTAAGAGGAAATGCTGAGATGGTCCGATGTGATAATTAATCCCAGTGCATGAATGCCGATAGAACAGAGGGCTCTCAGTACACTTGAATACCATAATCGAGATATTTGGCTGCACGTTCCTAAGGAGTTCTCTAGAACATCCCCTGCCGTCCTTGCCCAGAATGACTCCGCACTAGCACAAGCCCTGGTTTTCCCCAAGTGTTCTTTAAGTAGATCAGCTCCCATCTTTCCAAGAGAAATCCACATGTAATCAAGGGAACTTCCACGCTCTGTTTTCTTGGCGATACTTTGTCACTATGGCCTGGCACCCATACAAATCTAATAAAGTAATCGAAAGTGCATTAAAGCGTCGAATGTACCATAAGTGATCCCACGGCTCTCGTTGAAACCTGGCTGTACGAGTGGATGTTAACTCCCTTACCGCCATCGCTCTCATCGGCTGAATCCTTAATACTTAGCAGCAACCCTCACTTGAAAAACCTTACAGTGAATGGAACCCTAAATTTAAGTTGATAGAGAGCTGCCTGGAAAAAAACACTACACGGCCCCTTCCATGAAGGCCTGTCCGATCCGTGCAAAACTTCACCGGTGCCTCCTTCGAACCACTGGCCCCCGTCCTAGCTGGTGCCAGGCTAGTAACGAAGTAATCCGTGTTATCAGGGATTAAATCGACGCCCACCTTGAATATGAGGCTATCGCAGAATTTTAAATTTTTACTTCATTAGTCAAACAGTTAATCTTTCTAGTGAAAAGCATCTAATCAGGTTTGCTCGGACAAGCCGTTATTCCACTCCAGACGTTGAGTCAAGTAAGGAGTCCATAACCCAGCAACTGAGAAAAGCGAGAAAACACCGCGTTCAGCTATAGACACATACATGCCCTCTACCCGCCCAATTTCACGTCGCAATCGAAATTCAACTATCAGAATATAGTCTACCCCACAAGTTGCGCATCCTGCGGCTAGTTCCGTATCTACCGAGAACATTGCAAACTATTTAGCAGGAAATTGTTTGTCTGTGGTTAGATCAGTTTGCAAGGCCTACTCTCCAGAGCCTCTAGTCACCCATTTAGCTTCGTTTAGAGCATTATCAAACTGATTTCTTAAATTTTTTAACAAATATATGCACTTTCGTTAGGCTTTTTCCATCAGTCAAATGTATAAGCTTTCTCTTATGATTTATATGAAATTTGCGTTATTTTTTTTTCGAGACATCTAATATAGCATAGTAAATACAATACGTAGTAAAGTAAGTACTTTTGTAAACTAAGAAACTTGTACTTCTATATTTATTTTCTATAATTAAACATTTTTTTTATTTACAAATTAACAAAAAATATATATAATTGCAAACTTGAACCTAATATTTATTTTATCTTACATCACGCATGCGCATGAAACATTTTTCGGTTGCATTTATCATCGCTTGGCGCATACATTTTCATTTCGTTTTACTCGATTTCATTTTATTTTTTATGGCAATATGTTGCAATCGACAAATTACACAAACGTACATACACACACATTATACTTCATTGCCTTACAATATTTAGTAGCTTAGAAGTAATGAAATTAAGCCTTAAAAGTTCCAAGGTGGGCATTAGTTAGACCAAAAGATTCTTTGTAGCGGTGTGTGCGTGGAGAATCGCACTCACCAAATAAAAACTCGCATCGCACATATCTGTTCCTGTTTTGTGTTGTAACACAATAAGGCCGCAAACTGGATTACAATTATGGTTAGTGAATAAATATGTCAAAATGTGTGTGTGCATTGTTTATCCAAATGCATCAATCATAAAATATTTAAGTAAGTTTTTTTATCATAGGCTTCAAATGTTCATTTTACGTGGTATACGCAGTTTTTTTTATTAGATTCTCATCTCTAAAGTGAAAAGTTAGTTATCTCATAATCGCCGTTTAACTATAGAAATTCAGTAGGAATATGGATAGTTAACTCTCCACTGTGAAAACGGCCTTAAGTTTTGCAAAGCAAAAAGTTCACTTTGGTGTTTTTTTTGCTACGAAACAAATGTGAAATATCATCGACCATCCTGCGGCCTGAGCCTGAATTTAATATTTATGTAAATTCATATCAGTGAATCACCAAACCGACAACAAAGGAGCTTTCAATTCCATTACCATTTAATTTAGAAATGTACCTGGACTTCATGATTGCTACTGCCTTTGGCTCTTGGCAACAATACGCACCAAAACTGAGGCTTAAATTCAGCAGCTAAATCGATGGAAATTGGATGGATGGATCTGTTAGAGTTGTTAGGAGTTAGAGACTATCCGTTTTTATGAAATTCGTATATCAGCCGTAATGACACCTTATGGTTAATAGGCGCATGTAAAGTCAACTACACGTTTTATAAGCTTGATATTAGAGAGATGCGAAGGTAAAGAGATGAAGCGGTTGAGCACGATGTGTCCTTTCTACTAAATATATATTTTATGGCGGAATCCATTGAGAAAGTCTGGCTATTTCAAGTAATAGGCTTGTTCTAGCATCGCACATGATTTGATATTAGTAGTTGCTGGCCTTTTGTATGCAACGAGCTGGATCGCATAGTCAAGAACAACCCTTTCGTCAGCTGGGTCTCAATATCTTCCAAAGATTTTTGAGTCTTGCTAAGTTCTTCTCCACTGAGACCTTGGATATTTGCTTCTCATTTGTACTTAACTACGCTGCTTCCGCGCAACGCCTCCATGGACACGAAGCTGGCGAGATGCTTATTTGGGTTGGGTCATATGTCACATCGTCATTGGCTGACTGATTGGCAGCGCCATGCCCAAACCTTCGTCCACTTTCCGAATATCGGCTTCACTTTGTTGAAATTTTCATATACAATTGACACTTGTAAATGAGCTCTTGAAACTTTAGCTCTGATATAGATATAGTAGCCAACACGGGCACTTGATGCTATACCTCACTCTTCCAGTTTTTTCTGGTTCTTCCGCTTACAAATTACTTTTCCATAGATGATCTGATAAGCTAGGTATTCATCTAACATCGCCTGACACCGAATTTTGCTTAAGGCTTCACTTGAGAGCACCCTAATCTTGGCCATATTCTGTTCTGTCCTACAGAGGGCACGGTTGACCTTCAAATTGTCTCACTGAAATATTGCTGCCTCTTAACTCTCAAAAACCAATTTGCGAACTTAAGAAAAGCAGAATTTCACATGAAGTCAGGAATTTCACATGAACGGCAAAGTTAATTAAAATTAAATATCGCAAAAATTTAGTTTTAGAATGGCCACTTATTATTAATAGTAAGGCATATCATTTACAACTTTTGATAAAACCGCCTTTCAGCTTAATAGCTGTTCGCTCATTGCACGTACAAACAACAATCCCAAGGTGATAATTTAACTATCCATTTGAGAGGCCATCGCACACAAATTCGTGCGAAATGCTTATATAAAATTAACGCCTTTAGTACAGGACATACCCGTAGTTTAGAGCACGCCTCACACACACACGCCCCACACACACACGTTCCCACACAATAACACGCACAAATTAATTCCTTCAAACATACATATGTATATTCTAAAATAATTACTACCTTTTCCAATTAGTTAAATTGTAGAAAAACATGTGAAAGCTTCCATTATACAATTATCATTTCAATTTCTCCTTTATTATTCATTTCCATTAATTAACTGCTTTGCACTTTGTTGCAAATTAATTCATCATCAACGACATACGCATACATAAGTAAAAGCTTTGTATTTTTGCCTACAAATTAGCATTTTTCGTTTATGTTTTTAATTATATTATGTAATTTTCATTTCATTAGTTTTCATACTCGTTGAAAATTTTTTAATATTTTGAAAGCGTTCATTTAAATGCTTCGACACGTACTAGCAATTCCAGAGAAAAAATGCGATATCTCCCCAATGCACTGTTTATTTTGTTGATACGTTTCCTAATTCCACACACCAACTAAATCACCCAGCCAATCAAAAAAACAAAAAAAAAAACACAAATCCCCAATAGCAAAATCAGCAATTGATCACAACAACAAACACAACCACATCCATAGTCCTCTCACAATCACTTCTCTATCTCTCAAACTTACACAATCTCTCTCTGCCTACTCTCACGTATCACATCCCTTAGCCACATCATCCTCATTATTATCATCGTCATAATTGTATGAATTACAGCAATGGGCAGTCCATACTATAGAGACATGGATGAGCCAACAAGTCCAGCCGGTGCGGGCCATCATCGGAGCCGGAGTGCCAGCAGACCACCGATGTCACATGCCATGGATTATCCAAGTAATTACAATTTTTCTTACTTACTTACTATTTGTTTGAAAAAGATTTATTTTTTTTTAGAAAACATTAAATAGAGGTTAGAATAATGACCCATTTCCACCAAGCCTTAACTACAGTTAGCACTAACAGGTCAATTCTGGCACACACAGTCTTTAATAAGACAACTTGGCAACTATCTTTCTGTCTTTCGAAAGACTAACTAAAAGATCTGCCAACGTGGAGGTCTTAACTTTATTCTCTTAGCCCTTTATTCATAAAAACTAAAGTAGCTTTAAAAAAGTTTTATGAATTGAAAAATATATGAAAACGACAGTTTATAAAGCTCTTTAAACCTACTTTATTTTTTATGAATAAGGCCATTAGTCTTTTAGGCATAATTTTTCTAAAAATTAATTTTAAAAAATATGTTTTTTTAAACAATAAAAACTAAAATTTTAAGAAAATTTAATTGAAAAAAGTTGAATTAAAAAAAATTAATAGTTAGTTTCTAAAAATTAAATGGAATTAAAAAAATATATTCTGTTTTGTTTTGAAAAAAAAAAACTAAAATCCAAGAATTAAAAAAATTAAATTGAACAAAGAAATAAATAAAATAAATTAAATAACTTTTTTTTTCTTTTTAATACAATAGTATCTTAAAGGGCCTGGAAAATTTAGTTAAAAAAGAGAAAATGCAATTAGAAAAAGAAACAAAATAAAAAAGAAATTAAATTAAATTTAAAAATGTTTCTTTTTAAACCAAAAAAGTCTAGAAAAAAATAGATTTAAAAAGAAAAAAATAAAATCAGAAGATAATAAAATAAGTTCCTGTAAATTTAGTATTATTATATAAAATTATTTTTCTGTTTAAAAGAACAAAATCTAAAAATTACAAAAAGAAATAAAAAACCTAATAAATTTCTAAAAATTGTATGAAAGTAAAAAATTATATTTCATTTAAAACAATAAAATCTACAAATTTAAGGAAAATGCAGTTAAAAAATACAAAATAAATAATTTAAAAAAATTCCCCTGTTGACAAAAGAGTTTCATTTTCTAAAACTTTCGTGTCAGAATAAACAAAATTTTCATATAAAATTTCACTCTACTGTTTTTGTGTAAGAGCACTTCATCTTTATTTCAGAATAGAACTAGCTCAAGTATGCCGGTAAAAAAGCAAATGTTCGTTAGAATTTTCGGGCAGTGATTAAACTATTCGCATGACTATTGTCCTAACTACAGCGCCTAAAACTATGACGCAGAATCTTTGTCATGTCCTCAAAAGGTCACAACAATATTACTGACAGTTGTCATCTTTAGAGCACTTGAAATCACGTTTTTGCGTAATAGTTTTAGGCAGAAGGACCTACATAGCCACTCCTGGTGTAAGAAACTGGTAACTGGTTCGCAAAGGAGAAAGACAATTGGTTAAGTTTTCAATTGGTGGTGCTACCAATTAAGAAGGAGAAGAAGTTAAGGCAAAAGTCATGCGATACATTCTTTTCATTTGCATAGGAATAGAGCTGTATAGCTAAATATGATTTTATAAGCTAATTTTAGGCGCATCCACAGAAAATTGGGAAGAGGGAGCTCTCAGTTCACCCTGTATTTGAGTTAGACCTTAGCATTTTTAGAACCTAGCAAAGATTTCAACAGCAGCTAAGCTTGGTGGCGGAAATAGGCTATAGGGTTAACTGACAGAATTTAGTTAACTGATGGATAGAAGTGCCCATCAGTTAGTTTTCCATATAATTAATATAAATATAATATAATATATTTCTAGCTTGAAATGTGTCATACTTACATGTTCATCAACGAAAGCTCATTCACGATTTTCATTCACATAGGAACACGTTATCAGTCGCTGGATCGCGGTGGCTTGGTTGATCCACATGATCGTGAATTTATACCCATACGTGAGCCACGCGATCGCTCACGTGATAGATCGCTTGAGAGGGGATTGTATCTGGAGGACGAGTTGTATGGACGCTCGGCGCGACAAAGTCCAAATCCTATAGGTAAGTCCAATAAAACACACATTGCTTCTGGAAATATAAAAAGTACAGCATTAACAAAAAGTTCGCCAAAGTAGTGTTTAGCAAAAACCGAGTTCTACTTCTAGCCAGTGTTACAACAATGATTTTTTTATTTGTTACAAAAACACCAAAGAAGTTACCAAATTCAACAAGAAATATTCAAGCAAGTGCAGAACAAAAATACATACAGTGGCGAAAATATAAGCAAGGGCGCAGCATTTTAACAATTGTTGGTTATTTTTTTTTTGTTTATTATTCTTTCATGAAAGTACAGCTTATTATGTAATAAAAAACGTGTAAGTCCGAATTTCAACTTTGTACACAAATTCGGAAAATTTGACAAAATTTTAAGTAAGTAGCTAACCTTTGATTTTTGGTAAATTTTTTTTGTTAAAGACGTCGTTTTCATACAAAGAACAACATATAAAATTTCCAAAAATCAACGGTATTTTGTAGCCTTTTCAAGCTAAGGCTAACAAAATTTTTTCAAAATTTTCCTAATTTTTGTATAAGGTTTGAAATATGGATTTATATGACTATAATTAGATAAAATAATAACAAACATTAAATGAACAAAAGAAAAATATCCAAAACTTGTTAAAATATAGCGTCCCTATTTATATATTCGCCGCAGTATATCTGACAAGACTGAGTCGCCATCAGATGCCGTTAATTGGTGTCTGATTGCTCCTATGAACGCAAGTGTACAGCTTGTTATCCCGGGCGATTTGTGTACTTAGATCTTCTCAACAGGTTTCCGCCAAATCATCGATGAGCGCAATCCTCATATCATACCGAACGCAATATTCCAGTAGTAAACATTTTAAATACCCTTTTGCGTTTTTAGTTACCCTCAAGTTACAATCTTGACGGTGGATAGTGTAGGTATCTTATTTAACAAAAACGAGTTGATTTTTATATTTCCAGATTTCGAGAATGAACTAAGTAGATAAAATAAAATACTTGGCTTAAAGTTAGGTTAGGTAGACTGCGTGGCTTCGCAGAGACCAATAAGGTCCACAGAGTTACCAGATTACGCAACTGTTCACTGACACTATTAGCAAACTCAGTACACCGGATTCTAGATTAGGCAGAAAGCCTGCCCCCCAGTAGGCTTATATGCAGGCAACAAAGAGCAGAACAGAGCTAATTTAAAGGCGAACGATGCCAGCAAAAAATGTCCCATTAACACCCACCAGTGGCCTGTCATCCTCCCTCCTGGAGGAAAGGAGAAATTTCGTTAACTTTATTTCATACGATCTGCACATAATCCTAGACACCGTGCAGGCTTGCGGTTTGCTCTACAACGGCGCAAAGTTCAGATCATGGACACGAGGGAAATCGGTACTTCGTCTATCGGCATAGTTTCCTTCTATGATGATGTGATGTGCGACAGGAGTGCCCTAATCGCAGCCTGACTCTCAATATAGAGAAACCTGGGTACATTTGAAAGACATTTTTAGAAAAATTTACCATGAAAGTCAGAAACACCGTCAAATTTCAAGAACTTGAAATTATCAAAGCTTCTGCCTATACACTTCTATAGAACAGTAGAGATGCAAGGACCCCTACTCGCTTTAAGCTTCCATCTAAAAAAACTACTACAAACGAGCAACTGAAAATATCTCAAAACATCAACCGTTCTCTTTTCTGTAGGAAGCAAACCATTCAGCCACAGTTTGCCCGTTGGGCTAAAGGGCAAGTTGAGAGATTCCAAAAAGACAAATTCTGAAGATTATTTGTAAATATTATGTAAGGTAACCTTAGATTGTCTGCAACTAGAAGAGCTCCGCCATCTGTTCACATTCTGTGTATATATCGATTTGTTGATACATATGCGATTCGACTGATGTAACTAATGAACCAAGGGACGGTTTGGGTACTTATTAGCAAGCTTCCCGAGCTAGCTCGTCGTTTAGTATGCCCTTAGCCCATTGGGTAACTCAACATTATTTGTTAAACGTTGCCAGTCACCTCACTAGCGCTAGAGCGCTCTCATTCAAACCATCTGCGAAACTCAAAAGTTTCCGTATTTCTACTTTGGTTATGTAGGTTAGATCCTAGAAAAATTCTGAACCTGAGAGCTTTAGACTTCTTCTGCATAGTGCGAGACATTCGCACAAAGGGGTGCCTCAACGTTTGTGTCTATTTTTAGTTGGTACACATTATGTAGAAGTCCTTATGGGGAACCAGTAACCTCTCCGCGTGCCTTAAGTGGCAACATGGCCTCTTAGCAAACCGTGGGTGTCGCTAAGTCCCCTCTGTCCAGCATGAGAGGACCTTTCGGCCGTGTCTTGAAATGAGCTCGCTGATAGCGAGAGGCATGCATGTAACCTTTCAATGCTGCGAAAGTAAAACGTATGTGTCCTCTTTTGCAAGTGCGTCTGCCTTCTCGTTTGCTGGTATATACCGATAATTCGGACCCATACCAACTGATAAGCAGATTGCTTAATTCTCTCGTTTAGAAATCTGCGGTAGTTCATTATGGTTTTTGCGTTGCATGTAACCGAGTCAAGCCGTCTGAGACCCGCCTGAGTGTCTGAATTGATAAAGATATTGTTGTATATGATTTCTCCTGTACGTAAGTATTCAACCATCTCCTGCTCTCTAGTTGTGAACCATCGGTGTAGAAGTGGAGTGGTCCATTTTCTACAGGATAACTCGTCAGTTCTCCAATCCTCAGTGAATAGAATCAGACTAACTTTTAAGGTTACACGGACATAGCTTAAACCTACGCTGATTGTGGCATAATTTTTTGTTTACAACAAATATTCCAGATGTTGATATAAACACTTTTCTGCCAACTTTTCAGGCTATCAAACGGGCTTACCATCATCGGATCGAGCGTATTTGGGCGATTTGCAACATCAGAATACCGATTTGCAACGTGAATTGGGTCAACTTAAACGTGAATTGGAGCTGACAAATCAAAAATTGGGCAGTTCAATGCACAGCATAAAAACATTTTGGTCGCCGGAGTTGAAGAAAGAGCGTGCGCTTAGGAAAGAGGAGAGCGCCAAATTTAGTTTAATCAATGATCAGCTAAAATTGCTGAGCACAGAGAATCAAGTAAGTAAACGACAAATCTACATACATACGTAGTTCGTACTACAATGGTATTTATTTTGGAAACTAGGAAACTTTTCATTTAATCCATTTTTTATTTATTAAAACTGCATATTTCGTAATAACTAATTAAGTCCAATATCTCTTCTAACCAGTAACTGTATTTGACCTCAATATATTGCTTTACCAAACAACTGGTGCTTCACTTCTGCTAATGTATATTTTCTCACTTTTCCTCATTGCTTTCATACTTTTAGAAACAAGCAATGTTAGTGCGCCAATTGGAGGAAGAGTTACGTATGCGCATGCGTCAGCCGAATATTGAAATGCAACAACAAATGGAAGCATTATATGCGGAAAATGATCATTTACAGCGCGAAATTAGCATATTGCGTGAAACAATTAAAGATCTTGAGTGTCGCGTAGAAACACAAAAGCAAACGCTCATCGCGCGCGATGAAAGTATTAAGAAATTGTTGGAAATGTTGCAAACTAAAGGAATGGGTAAGTGGAGATGAAAATTTTTTACACTTTTTTAGCAAATAAACTGTTCGTATATGTATGTGAATACCTCTAAGAAGTTGACATAAAAATGCTGAAACGGATCAGAGTTAATGCAGATTAAGGAGCCTATTTTAGCATAAATTTGATGAGGTTTGTTAGTTTATTTCTTCGTGATAAAACCTAGTTTCTCTTATTACAACTTTTTGAACCTTTTAATTATATATTACTAGCAATTACCCGGCGTGCTTCGCTGCGCCTTAAATGTATTTTTGTGTTGTAACTCTCCCCCTAAGCTCTTATGGCCTCATTTACAAAATATTTTTAAAGAACTTTATGAAGTTAGATTTAAAAAAATNTTGGGCTATTCATTTCATAAGCTGGTCATTTCTACATATAAGAATAATGTGAAATTCTGGTTATTAAAGTTTTTGTAGTAAATATCTAAAGGTAGTATATTCTTTGCCGCAATTAGACTGAAAAAGGAGGTCTTCTGACGATCTTTATTTCTTTTAGTATTTCTATATATGTTTCTTTAAGTCCAGTTACTATACCTACTTTACTGAGATGGTAGTAGAGAAGGTATACCCATTTGAAATACCGGCTCTACCGGTTATCAGCCGAACTCAAAGCTATCGCAACAGGAAATAATCATTACAGTAATGGACCTTCATTTACTGATACTTAACGCGAAAAATGTATTATTGTCAATGAAAAATATCTTCACCTTTTGATATTATTGTATGCCGCATATAAGATCCGTCCACAAAACAAAGCTGAAATTAATAATTCCAAGAAATCACAAGGAAATTAAACTTAAATACCCACCTAGAAACGCAAATACGCATAACCAGCCTTAACCTTTTCTGCTTTCATGAATTTTAAAAATCTGTTTAGAAATAAAAAAGAAACTAAAAGAAAGTTCCAATATGGGTATACCCCGGAAGACTAGCCAAATATTGGTACCATATAAAGTGTACCATGACCAACCGAGCCAGTGATGGTAGCTTCTACGCTCTCAGTTTATGATAGTTTTCTACTGCTTTGAAGATACCGCTATTGAATGAGCACTAGGGGGCCAAAAATTAACGTGAAAAAGTAAAGACGGAATTTTTATGCTCTCCCCCCCTAGGATTGTTCTATACCGAACAAATAGACCCCCAATTTTTTTTTTAATTCAAAAAATATTTAGAGGTTGCTCAAAGCGCTCAAAGTTTTCCATTTATTTTATATAGGAAACATCCACTTTTCGTAGAAATGGTATAGAATTCTTGAATGGCGAACTTTGAGTGCTTTGAGCGACCTCTAAATATTTTTTGATTTCAAAATAAAAATTAGTGGTATATATTTTTGTATAGAACAATCCTAGGGGGTGAGAGCATTAAAATTCCAGCTCAACATATTTTTGGACTACCCTAGTGAACACTTTTGGGCTGCTTCAGACATTTGACTGCGGCGGCCATGCGTCGAAGGCATTCTTCAACCGTGTCATACAAATATTCTCATAAAAAAAGACATGCAATTCAGGGTTGCTAAAAATCCCATTCGAGTGATACCAAAAAACCCAAAGACTGTAAGGAAGCTCGGCTAAACTCTATGCCAACTATACGAGCGGTAAATCTTTAAGTATTTTTACAAACGAAAACATTATTGAGTGCTTCATTTACTTTCAGCCAGACATGAACCTTCTACGCCAGCTGCCTCTTCAGCAATACTTGTAGACATCGCGTGTTCGCGTGGAAAGATAGGTAAACCCATGCACTCTAGGCTGTAGTATGTTTGGATTTACAAATTTGTCTTCTGCATAGTCAATATTGAGGTTGTCCTGCACAGTCCCAAGGGACTCTCCTGTCGCTAGCATAAAAGGCTGCATGTGATTAGACGTTTCATTTACATACATTTAAAGTGAGTCAACTTGCGAAACAAAACTAGAATGAACCCCGCAGATGTTGTTTTAATGAACTTCCTGGGATCAGTAGTCTTCTAGGTAGCAGACAATGCATACATGATGGTTTCATCTACTCTTTTTTGTTAAAGCGTTCTCAATATTATCGAAGAGACCACACTTTGTCTTACAAAGCCTTACTTTGACCTTACTCGCTCTTTTACAATTTTTCCCAGACCCTTCAACCTGAAAGTTGTGGTGCGAATTGGCTTTAAGCTCTGCTACTATATATTCTGCTTTTCCTTAATTGAGAGTGCCCGTGAAGCGACATCTGGAGAATCTGGACTGACTTTTGGGTTTTAGTAAAACTAACTAAATTTGTTTTCGTATACATTTTCTTCTGTTCCGAATTTTTGTCTTGTATTAATAAATTTTGTAGACTTTTTTGCTATTTATAAAACTTGATTTTCCAATTTTTTTTAGAGGTCAGAATTGTATTACATATACATATTCTTAGGGCCAAAATACTACGTGCGCTTTTATAATTAAATAAGGTCAAGGAATCATTGCATTAGGAATATAATTTTCTTTGCTCACTACATTTGAATCTCTTGAATTTCTCATTCAACTTACAGGTAAAGAAGAGGAGCGACAAATGTTCCAGCAAATGCAAGCAATGGCCCAAAAACAGGTAATTACTGTTTAAGTTGCTTATAAAGTTATCAAAAGAAAAAAAAAATACAGTCAAAAGTTAGGAAAAAATTAGATAAATCAAAAATCTGAAAAACTTAGATTTGCAATAACTGAATGAAAATAAAATAAAATCATAACCAATCCCATACAAACAGCTAAATCTTTGCAAGCAACAAATAATTCATGCTGAGAAGCAAACCACACCTGATTCAAAAGTTTAGGAAAAAAAAAAACAAAAGTGGTCTCAAAACTGCGTTTGATTTGCAAAGTCCACATGAAAGCCCTACTAAGGGTAAGCCAATAAAGAGTAGCAGCAAATTTGTAAAGCTACTAGAATTTCAAAAGAACTACTTCCTCTTAACCAAAAAGGGAAACAAAAACTTTGGTTGTGTCTTCCAAAAGTTCTACAGAAATAATTTGTTTCAATTTTTTTTTTTGTAATTGAGCATCTTTCGTAATTTTCACACAGCCTGTTATAATGTTTAACTTGGCTTTAAAAGTTTCAGCAAACTCACACACACATATACACAATATATGTTTTTATCTATGTTTTTACTTTTGATTTTTTTGAAAGCGTATGAAACTAAAGTTTCTTCTTACTTGTTACTTATTCATTGTTAGCATTTTAGAAACTTGCTATGAATTTCTACTTTACTTTTCCAATAAAAAATGCTCTTAAAAGTATTTACATGATATGCTGATGCTCTGTTATTTAGTATAACAACAACTACATACATATTTCATGCTATAAATTTTCATTAAAAAAATCATCGTAGGTTTTCACAAAAAATTAAATGAAATATTTTTTTTTTACCACTCAGCATTAATCATAAAATTCACAAACAGCAGCGCATTGGCTTTGAATAACACTGCTTAAAAACATATTGAATATTTATATACTTTTTTTTTAATAAGAAATAAAAAATTAAAAAAAAAAAAATTTGAAATACACATTTGTTTAATTGAAATAAATTAGAAAACAGTTTGAAAAAATCAAGCCCTAACCGCCAAAATAACGTATACGATATTTTTTTAACTTTCCTTTTTGATGCAGCATCTAGATGCAGATAATAAATAATTAAAAAAAAATTTAAAAAATATGAAAGTTTGAAATACATTTTTTTTTATTAAATTGACAAAAAATAAAGAAAAAATTAGGTATCTAATTACAAAAAAAATTAACAAAATATTTGTAAATTATCATTTGAAAATAAATATTTTGAAAAAAAGAAAATAAAAATTTATCAGCGGAGCATAAATTCCACGCATACACAAACATGCCAATTTTTTTTTAAAATAAATTTTTAACTATCACAACATACATTTACACATAAACACGCCTAGAAATTTGCTCATTACATCAACGCAATCATTAGTTTTACATACGTTTTTTGTTTTGGTTGTTGTTATTTTAGGAATTGTTGTTGCTTTAACTTGCATTTGAAACTATATTTAGAGCCAAAATAAGAAAAAAAAAAACAAAAACAATAAGTAAACAACATTGAAAAATCATTTGACAGCGTTTTTGGTACCTACAAACTTATCATTATTTTTAGTATACAAGCATATTCCATTTACCTATTGTAGTACATACCTACTCGCAAATATCCTTACATACATATCTATGTGTGTAATTAATTACTTGTGTGTAGCGTTCCTCCATAAATGTTACACTGTGCACCGCGCACCCCGCCCCGCTGCCTTACACCACGCAAGGTGTATCAAAAATCGGCAGCAGTAAAAAATCAGCGCAAACAAATACAAATTGTAGTTAGAGATCCCTTAACTTAGTTACCCACATACATATATGTATGTATGTATATTACTGTATGTATTTTGTACTTTTGTGTGTCAGCAGAAAAATTTTAATTTCTCTAAAACCCCCGTGCCCAAATACGAACAACTACATAACTAAGTAGGTTCATAGTGAATATCAGAGTACATATATACATATCTCTCCCGCCTTGTGATATTGACATGGGACAGTTACAATGCGCAGTGAACTGTTCCACTTTTATGATAGTAGATACACATTTACCGTTAAACACTGAAACACACAACGCACACACCCATATACATAAATACACCCCAACTAACGAAATTTTTCTTATTTAGTATATCACTTTCTTGTATATCCTTGTTGTTCGTTTGCCTACATTTAAATATGTACACACACACACACACACACACATATATATATAAACAAAAACACAAAGCCATAAATGCATATTTTCAATACATTATTTTGCCCATTTTCCATTTCATATTTGTGCCTTTTCTGTACGGGTTATTGCTGGCAATAATAGTAGTACATGATTACTTTTTTCCATTTTTTGTTACATTCTCTGATAGTACTGTACTTCCCTTCCTGTCCTTTTAAGCATTTCACTACAAGTATTCGTACATAGTAGTTTTTTGTTTCGTGTTTCTTCGTCGACAAGTTTCTTAAGTTTCGAGTGCATCTGCATAACAACAAAATTCAATTTGATAGATTCCAAAGATTTCTTTATCCATGTTTCCCCGCCACTGTACATATAAGGATCAGCGACTAGTATAACTCAAATGAAGAAAAAATTACCGTAATATGTTTTCGCAAACTACTATACTTAGTCTGCTATTGCTACTTATGTTCATGCATTTACATATGTATGTATGTATATGTATACGGGTCATTCCATGACAAATCGACCAATGCTTGGAACCGACCATTTTTGTTTTGGATGAATTTTGGTCAGAACTTTTCTTTGATCATATAACGAAGTTCTGCCATAGAAACTAAATTAAACTTTTTTTTTAATTACGCAAAATTCAAAATTTCACAATTTCCGGTATTTTGCATGTTTATTTTTTGAAAATCTCAAAAATTTTATAGTTACAAAAATGGTTCTGGTCTCGGTTTAAAGCTGATATTTAGAAGTATAATAAAAGATATACAAAAAAATCGATAAATAAAAATTTCATAATCTTGAAGTTAACAAAAAAATTTAAAAACGAAAACTTATAAGAATTGTTGGATATTTTTTTATCTTAAAAGATCTTGAAATTTTCAAGAAGCTAATTTTTAAAAATATATACAAGGCGACAAATGAAAGTGTACACCTTGTTCTAATATAATATTAACAATTATATTCATGAAAAATGTTGTGCATTAATTATTTGTGAATACTTAGTTCAGTCTATGATATAAACTATATAAATCAAAGTTTCACACTTTATATAAAGTTCACAAAAATTCAAGAAATTTTCAACTTTTTTTTTCAAATTTCCGCTTATGCAGTTTTGTAGCCCATTCAATTTAAATCTAAAGAAATTTTTTTTGGATACTGCTTCTACGTTTTTTTATGTAACAAGTGGAATTTAAGAAACATGGCGGTGATTTTTTGAAATTGTTGTTGCTAACTATCTTCCGCTTTTTATTTCAAGTGCAAAAAGTGCAAAAATTCTCAAAAATTAACGGAAGTTTTTAGTTATTTAAACCGAAAATTGAATGGGCTAAAAACTGCATACTCGAAAATTTTCTAGAAATTCTGAATAAAAAGTTTTAAATTTTGATGAACACTTTTTGAATTTTTTTGAACTTTATATAAAGTGTGAAACTTTGATTTATATGGTTTATATAGTAGAATGAACGATATTTGCATAAGTAATTAAAGCAAAAAACATTTCATGAAAGTTATAGTGAATATTTTATTAGAACAAGGCGTCTAGTGTAGATTTTTGAACTTACAAACATTAATTTTTGACGAACTGATTTTAAAATAAATAGATATTTATTTTTAATCCAGAGTTTGCAAAAAGAAATTTTTGTTTTAAAGTTCAAAAATTCATATCTTAAAAAACATCTTTTTGGTAATTAAGGGTTTTTTAAGATTGGTTAAAACAACCAAATAAGAAAATTACTAAAAAATCTATTAAATTTTGAAGAGCAAAATTTTTAATTTTTCGATTTTTTTTATTTTAATATACATGTATATGTATATATATATATATATTTTTAAAGCCCTAAATATCAACCTTAAAACATGAACGAAAACCATATGTAACTATAATACTTTTTGAGATGTTCAAAAAATAAACCTGCAAAATCCGGAAGTTTTGAAATTTTGAACTTTCTAAGAAATATTATAAATTTTTTTCCTTTGGAAGAACTTCGTTATATGCCCAAACTTCAGCAAAAAAACAAAAAATAATGTCGGTCCATTTGGCATGGATTGACCCATATACATAATCTTAAAGCGTATTTATTTTTTGCATACTTTTCCTTCTAGTTAATATTCTTCTTCCTCGCTCTCATCGTATTCTTAAAAAGCTATCATTATATTTATTACAAATGCTTTGTTGTTTTTTATGCTCTTCAGCACATAGCGATTATTGTTGTTGTTATTTCGTTTATTACATCGTTTCTCCTTCTGTAGACTGTATAGTTGCGTTGTTTGTGTTGTTAATGTTGTAGATTTTTACAACTTTTTCTGCACTTTCGGATGCAATGCAGCGTCGCAAAAGTTTTCTATTTTAATTTTCTTTTGATTTTTATGGCATCTTCATTTTTTAGTATTCCTTTCTTCATTTAATCTCACTTATTATGCATATTCCCCTTCAGCATTTGTTTGTTTCTTTCATCTGTCTAATTGTGATAAATATTCAAGCACACTGAGTAATGATTTCAAATGGATTTAAATTCCCTATACTACAAAATAAAGTATATAAAATTTTTATCAAAGTTTACATATGGATTTAAGGAAATAATAAACCTGCGGACTTTTGGGTAATTTTTTTTGAAAATTAATTATAATCAAATACATATTAAGCTTCATAATTTCATCGGTGTAGAACTTCTAAGGTTTGTTGGCGAAAAACTTGGTCTGGCGACTTTCAGCGGTTCTTCAGTTGGCTAATTTTTGAATATCGAGAGGGTTTTACAGAAACCGAAACAAATGGATGTCAGACGGCGTAGGCCCCAGAAAAGAAAATAACAAACTAAGGGGACTGCATTGGCGA